ATGGAAAATACGTGAGGCAAACCGATAAAAAATGCACATGTTGCACACGACACCAAATCAGGACTGGAAAACATATGTATTTCCATTGCAGTGGGTCCGGGAGTATGACCTGGAAGCAGTTGAATCTACTGGAATAGTTACGAAAGCCAGCCAACAGGGTTAATGGGATTTTTGGGAGGCTAGTTTTAGGTGGTTGGTGATGCAGAAGATACAAGCCGAAGTTGTTGCGGCATCACTTGAAACACCCAGTTGTTTGGGCCGCTTCCAAAATCGTCAACAGCCCAACCATTTCTCCTTCGGCCGGCGCTCTTCGGACGGTCCTGGACTTTGGCGCTGTGTTTTCGAGGTTCCGAGGCCATTTTTGGACTGTGTGTGTGTGCGGCGCTGTTCTGGGGGTGCCAATGTCTGACTGAGAAAAGAAGGATGTTCGCAACTTCATAAGTTGGACAAGTTTTGGCATTCATCAAGGAACGGTGCGACCGCAGGACGCTCGCGACCTTAAAAGGCGAAAAGCCATGCCGGAGCACGGAACGCCTAATGACGAACGGTAGCGGACTTCGGCGCCGTTTGCTCTCGACGTTACGAGGCTATTTTTGGCGTGCCAATGTCTGACTGAGAAGGAAGCCCCAAGCACAAGCCCCTCCAAACAAGAAGCGAGCGTTTGACACGAAAAATAAGAGCTCGAAGTTATGCGGGTGTGGTTATTACGCGTTTTTGTTGTGTTTTTCTTAGATTTTGTCATGTTTTGAAAGAGTTTCCACGGTTGCGGTCTAGATATGTTCTTGTGCTCCTGTTTCCCAAACAAACCAACTTTTCTTTTTTTGAAACAACCTCTGGATCCAACTCTACCCTTCCTTGCCCATAAGCATTCTCATTGTTGCAAAGGTAGCACTTTTTGGGCTTCTCCCTCCATATTCTTTATGAAATGGGCTTCTCCCTCCCACAAGTTCGATTAGACCAATCCTGCTCATCTCCACTGTTCTCACCCAATGGCTCTTCAGGTCTATGCTCCATATCCCCCATCTACGACGAAATCTTCCAAAGAACCTTATGAAGCCCATGGAACGATCCAGCCATAGATACACTAAGGGTCTGAACTGGCTGTGTGGCCACTACTCATTCCCAAGCTCATGAGGAACCTTCTCTTCACCCCAACCTTCTTGCCCACGCATAGACATACATGAAGTCAGGCTGTACCAAACCTGGCATGCTCAGCATGCTCCCAATGTTCACCCAACATTGCCAAGGACATTCTTTCTCGTGATGCCACCCAAGCTCAAAACCTCATTGGACCTCACCAACACCCACCCAAAAGTAAACCAATAGATTGTGCCAAAAATATGCTCTACCAATAGCGTGAATCATGAGGATCAACTGATGTTGTACCCAAATGGTTCTGATCTTCCATTGGGCCACGTAACCCATTGCACCAGGCATTCCATGGACCCCACCCTCATTGATTGCCTAGCAAGTTTCCCTCTCACATGGTGCCCATGTGCTCTTGGAGGCCAAACAAACCCAATCGAAGCGCCATCCATATTGCGCTGCTGTCTGGGGCATTTGCTCAATGGCTTCTATAGCAATACAATTTGCTCAAAGTCAGGATCCCAATCTCTCATGCCCAGGTGTTGCGTCTATGCAGCCTCCTTTGGTCTCAAATGAAATTGCATACATACAGCCACAACCCCAATGCCAGCTGTTTAATGCACCCAATGCCTCATCTCATCTCATCCTCATCTCATTTCATCCACATTGGAAGTTCCATTTTCCTATCCTCTCTAGCTATATGCCCATCTCTCTCTCTCTCTTTCATTGGATATCTTAAGCCATCAAATCAAGACACTCTTCCACACTCCACCATTGAGACCATACAGTATAGGTATTCACCCTCACCACATAGAGTCTAGAGCCTGAACCCCCCATTCCTTCTCCATGTTCTGATAGGCAATGATCCAATTGGCATGGCTCTGATCTGTCAGATCTCTCATCAAGCTTTTGCAAAAATACTAGCTGCTAGCTTTCATGATTCCCACACAGAAGTCCATCAACCATCATCTATCAGCAAGTTCCGGACATCACATCATACATCATCAGGTCATCTTCTCTATGAGGGGGATCTTGTCTCCAAGACCTCCAATCTCAATGACTCCTCCCTGGGAGGGGGGGGGCGAAAAAAAATTGCTCGTGGGATTGGGCAACAAATTTTTTCTTTTTGGCCACTCCCCCCCCCGCCGGGAGAAGCCCGGGCCCAGGCCCAGTTGCTGGAGATTGAGGATTCATTGAGATTGGAGGTCTTGGAGACTAGATTCCCCTCATAGAGAAGATGACCTGATGATGTATGATGTGATGTCGTGGACTTGCTGATAGATGATGGTTGATGGACTTGTGCGTGGGAATCATGAGAGCTAGTATTTTTGCAAAAGCTTGATGAGAGATCTGACTGTTTACAAGTTGACATTTTTGCTAGACACGTTCTTCAAAACAACCAACATTTTCAAACAACGCAGAAAACCACAAACCACAAAAACGCGTAAAAACCCCACCCGTATAACTTCGTTTTCTGAAAAGTGATGCGCCTAGTCTCCGAAACAAGCCTTTCGCTGGAGACCTCCGGCACACAATCCGCCAGAACATATTGATCGATATAGCCGGATGTAACTTACATTTTGGAGGTTCCACTGTTCCACTTTCTGTGTGTTTTTCGCTTGTTCCCTTAGATCTTACCAGGGCTGCTGCAGCACACTTTGGGCGGGACGTGCGAACGTGTAAGCTACATACTGTAACTGACATTCTTCCGTGAACGGGCAATGGAAAAGATAGCTTGCATTTTCTCATGTCCCCCCTCACTAGCGGCAGGGAGAACACAACATGTGCCTTGACATTAAATTTTCATAGCCGGACGTTGTGACCAAGATGTAATCTGAACCTTTTAAATCCTCGCAGGACGAACATGCGAAAACACAGCCGTTTGTGGAACTAGAGGACAGGGTGGCCCGGAAGATGAATGTGATGAGTAGGAGAGTGGAAAAGAGAATCAGTCGATAGTTTTTTCCCGCAGCTCTGTACGTATAAATATAGTTTTTTGCAGACAGCTACTGTTCGCATACTGGAGACTAGAAGTGGGAACCATATGGGTTCACGCGCATTTCCGTCATGATCATCGCGGCTTGAAAGCCATGGATGCAGTATTTCTGCAGGACACGTGCTGAATTTCCAAGTGCTTTCATGCAAAAGGCCAGAAGTTTTCGCGTAGACGTTTGCGTTCATGGTCGCTAAAGCTTCCAGAACATCTTCCCCAAGGTCACGCTCGCAATCCAGCCTAAGACAACATTCAGCGTAGCTTCTTGTTGACCTTCTTCCTCGCGAAGCTCACGCGTGCAGAGAGTCTTCGTACATCTGTCCATGTCCAGCGCGCGTGCGCTGTAGCTTTCTCAAGCATGCGTGGACAAGCTATATCTCGGTCCTGCAGGAGGAAGAGAGAGTAGAAAAGCTTTGCTCACTATGCTTTGGCAGTGCGTGGTAATGCCAACAGTAAGGGTTTGCCAGGAACGATGTGGTCATTCCAAAGATTCCAAAGACAATCGGTATCACCAGCCCAGGAAAGCGCGTAAGTATAAAATCACGCTCTTGGATACATTCACAAGCAATAGCTGTGCAGGTGTAGGCCAATCTCAGAAAGAGCGCGCAAATGAACACAAATCACAGTCAGGGATACGTTCACCAGCAGGAGCTATCGCAACTGGACAGTGGTAAAACTTTTCTTGTCCGCGCGCAGCGCTTTGCTCAATAGAGGTAGCTAGACGCTGCAGACGACTCATGTTCGCGTTGCGCGGATGCAGAAAGAAAGCAAACCGTCAACAATCCTGCTGAAGAGCAGCGTCTGCGTAGATGAATGCATTGGACGCATTGAATGCACCAATCCAAGACTGCCTTTCTGCCTCGAGCGTTCGCAATGCCCGCGAAAGAGTATGGTGCAGACAGTAATTGTCAAACTATTACGCAGATCGACAGCGTAGCAAAAGCTCATGCAGAGTGTATTGCAGGCAATTGCTGTTCACGCGCACGCGAGAAAGAGGTAGGCCTCATTTCGCCAGATGCCAGCGACCGCAGCGCATCTTTGCACGAGTTTATTCCGCCAGAATCACCGGGCGCATATTACCACAGTTTTGCGTATCCAACACGTACGACCTCCGCAGAGGGTTGCGTTTCGCGAGCGCCCCGTTGCCTTAAGAGTAACTACTGTACAAAGGTTTTGCAGTTGTAGATGAATTTTGTAGGTGTCTTCACCTAGGTCTTACTAGTTTCTCCACACCTGTCTCATATCTCAACACCTTATCGCCCGTATCTCAACGTCAACGCCTACGCCACCTGTATCTCAACATCTATTTGCCTATACCTGCACACCTGTGGTCTCAATTTCCTGTATCAAAACATCTGTATATAGGTCTATGTAGATCCTTTATACCACGTGTTACCCCATTATCACACACTTCATGATGAGGACCCTTGACAGCCGTGTCAATCGCCTGCATGTATGCAACTTCCTTTGATGATGACGATGACGGTGTTGTTTCTGCTGCTGATGATGGTGATGATGGTGATAACATTAGTGATGTTGATGAAGATGGCAGTGCTGCTGCTGCTGATGATGATGATGATGGCGATGATGATGATGATGATGATGATGATGATGATGATGATGGCGATGATGACGTTAGTGTACGTTAGTGATGTTGATGAAGATGACAGTGCTACTGTTGCTGCTGCTGCTGCTGCTGCTGATGATGATGATGATGATGATGATGGCAGTGCTGAGGATGACACGATGCCGATATTCAAAACGATAATAATGATGAACATAACATTCCTGACGATGATGACCATGATACTTTGACAGTTGAAGTTGGTAGCTGTTCTTGGAGGAAAACATTTTGCAGGTGCTTTCGAAAAAACGGTCACATCACCTGCAAGGGAGATGCATTTGGTCAAATAGATCTGAGGATTTTTCCTACTCGCCCGGGCCATTGAAGACCTCACCAAGAAGGCCTCTTGCTTGCGATGCGTGTGAGCGAGTGTAGAGTCGCTTTGATGCGCGGCAAGGGCGTTGAGGAGAAGAAGGCAGTCGTCGTTATGCCCATGCCAGGCACGGGCCGGTGCAATCCTTGCGTGCTCCGCCACTGCGTATTTAGACAATGCGAGGCTGTGCTTCCAACGTGCAGCAACCACACGACGCAGTGGCTAACTGCCTCAAGCCTGTGTCTTACGAGCTTGTTGGTTCCTGTTGGTTCTTGGCGCTTGACGGCCACGCTTGCTGTTCTGTGCACGGGACAAATATCTTCAAAAGATGGCTAGCAAGTGGCCAGTGGAGACAGGCATTGGAAGCACAACTATAGTCAGATGTTCGAGTGCCTGCACGTTTGCTGCAGGCAGATTGTTCAAAGAAGCAGTCTTTGTTCGACATTGCTCTTCGGTCAACAAGATGAACTGATGCAGAAGTACAGAAACTAGAATCTGCTGGCATGCCCTGGCCGAAGGAACCGACGTGGGCCTGACCATGTTCTGACAGGTCCGCTTCAGCCGACTTTGGTTTGCCTCCCTTTGCTTTTGCTCTATTGCATTCTGGAAAACATGCAATCGTTGGACTTTAATGTTGTCTTGGCTGCGTTGGATCTCATTGCATGCATTCGATTACAGTGGAATTGATGGTTCTCGGGTATGAGTGAGAACCCTATTGCATCTCACGACACTTATGACAAACATATCATAGATAAGCACATAAAAACATATCTAACGTATCTCTCTAGATATATGTATATATATATATTTATACTTTACTTCATTGCTCATACGGCTTCATCATGCTTGATAGCGTTGCTACACCAGCTGCGCTCAGCTCGTGTTCGTGCGGCGGTGAATCTACGTGAAAGACCAGCGCCTGGACTGGATGCGCATCACAGGCACTGGGCCTTGTTGCACCTTGAGTACACATCAGCAGACTCTGTAGACTGACGATTGACGATAGATGATTCCCCAACGGCGATAGCTTGGGGTGTTTTCACTTTTTAGGCGGATGGGCGCCATCGGACCCAACCCTGATCTGGTAGGTGGTGTCTCGGTCATTGCGGTGGAGTGTCCAAGTCATGTTTTGCTATGTTTTGCTGGTGTTTAGGCCATGTTTGGGTGGTGTCTTGGTCATGTTTAGTAGGGTGGTATCTCGGTTACGTTTTGCGGGAGTCTTCCCGGTCATGTTTTCATGGTGTATCGGTCATGTTTCGGTGTTTTCTCGCTCATGTTTGGGTGGTGTCTTGTTGGTCGTGTTTTGGTAATGTCTTGCATTGTCTTGCTCATGTTTGTGTGGTGTGCTTGTCCTGTTTTGCTGTTTTCGTGGTGTATCGGTTCTGTTCTTGTGGTGCGGGGTTCGCGGATGTTTACCATGGTGGTGTCTCGCTTTTATGTTGTGTCTTTGTCTCGGGCTCAGTCTTTGTGCGTGTATGAACTGTGCGCTCGCATGCCCATACACCTGGTGCGCATTGCGCGCTGGCGCTTTAACACTCTCACACTTGCGGTCGCTGCGCGCCCACGGCGAATGCGATGGGCGGTCCGCAGCCGTCCTTGGCGCCGAAGCGCACTTGTCCTCTTCTAGTCAAACCTTCGCAGTGGTCTGGCCAGGTCATCTTCCGCCTTCCACAAAAACCACTCAACACAGAGCGAATTTCCCTGACCTGGTCCACAGACCACCTCAGAAACAAGCCTCCTTGTGGAGGAGCAACTCCGCACTGTGACAGATCAAGACCCGAGCACTCGTCAACAGCAATGTCGCACTCACCAATCAAACACCTAAGAACACTCCGAACCAACCTCAACACCGCAGCCAAAGTCTGACCACCCATCAACAAACAATCACCTTCACCCGGGTCATGCCATTGTCCCCTCTTCGGTCCCGCCATGGGGATTCTGCCACGAAAGTGTTGCCAAGTCCATATAGCAATCTCCAGAAATGAGATCGCTACAACCTTGGGGCCAGTGTCAACAGCTAGCAAGGCCTGTACAAATTGAAGGCCCCAAAGTCCAAAATCAAAAAATTTACTCGACCTTCCTAGATTGGTGTGCCAGGTGTCAGGCATTAGGTCAAAAAGCGAGCTATCACCCTCTCTCACTGCGTCAGGATGTTCCATCTTCTCTCCACCCTGCTCTTCACCCTCTCGAGTGAACTCGTCACGCTGCATCATCAGTTCCCTGCGAGCTTCTGCCACAGCGATGTGCAGTTTTTGAAGTCTTTCTTGTCGTTCTTGTTCCTTTTCTTGGTGCTGGCAAAGCGATCTCCACATCTTCAGTTTCTCGGCCGAATGCATGGAGTGAGCCGCCATGGCTGCTTTGTCGGCAGCCCCGTTCCAGAACATGGTCCAAGAATCCACTGCATCCGCACAATCACTTTCAGTCCTATGGGAGTTGATGTGTTGTCCTTGCAGCCTGCTGCCCAGCTTTTTCACACGCTCTTGGCACAGCAGCCATAGATCCTCATTCGAGCTGTACGGCAAACTGGAGGAGGAGTCAATCAGTCGCCAAAGCCCCACTGCCGCATAGGCGCTGTCCATCCACACTGTGACTTTGCAGTTCATCCCATCAGCCCAGGTCAGGGAGGCAAGCAAAGCGGTCACTTCACTTCTATCCACTGTCTGAATCGGGCCTGACAGGGGACCTGAAGCAAGACAAAGAGAATGAGATGCTGAAACACAGGCCCACGTTGCAAGCGCACATTCGATGTGTGTTGGATTTTTGCAGGAGCCATCCGTGAAGATGTCAACCCATCCCTCCAAAGTGCAGCATGGCTGGTAACTGAAGCAAGGTGGCTCAATAGGTCCAAGCATCTGCAGCCATTCATTCCAATGAGGGAAAGCTTCTGGGAGCAATCGGTGCTTTCTACTGACGGTCAGAGACTGCCATTCTGCCAGGGCCTGATCATGTCCTTCTCTTGCGGCTGACAAAGCTGGGCAATGCATCACTCTGTGGTCAAGATCATCAGGGCAGCCACAGAAAATGCAACATCCCGACTGAAATTTGTCATACTTGCTCTGCTGTTTGGCCGTCAAGAATACCCCCTCTTGGAGGGCTGAGACTTGAGCTTTGGCAAGTGGTGTGAGGTTCTTGCGTGCCCTCAACAAAACGTGTCGGTTCAGGTTAGTGAGTCCTGAGAAGTCTTTACGCTTCCCCACTACTCTACTTACCATAGCAGCCCAGGCACTCTCAAGCAAGCCCTGCAGGATGTTTTTCGGCACCGCAAGCAGGTCTATTGGATGACCTTCATGAGGCAGGACCCAAGGAGGTTCAAGTACATGCCATCTTATCTCCTCAAACACCTCCAGCAATTTCGAGAACGGACCAGCTTGAAGCTTTCCGGAGTAAGCTTGCCAGTATTGTTGCCACAATGTAAGCACTGAATCCTGTTTGTCAGCCATCCTTCTGAAGTCAGTAATGACTCTGGTCAGTTGGTAGAAACCAGGGTCACACATCAGGTTGTCCAGCAGAGCCATGCGCATCAAGGGAGCAGCACCTGCTTTTCCGTACCCCAAGGCACGTAGCGCCAAGGTGCGCAAAGAATCAACATGAGACTTGCCCAGCAGACAAACCGAAATGCCGTGAAATGCTTTTGGCCAGAAGACTGAGATCAACAATTGTTGCTTCATGCCTGGCTCAGCGTCAAGTTTCTTGAGCTTCATCCAAAGTCCCTCAAGTGCTTGAAGCCGCTGTATCTGGATGCTGATGCGTCTTGCTCCAGAGTAGCTGTGTTGAACCCCAAGGTCTCCTGCCTGTTTCTGGACTTTGTAGTCCAGTGTCTCCAGCATTGGACCATCTGCCGCCATGGTGCTCCACGTCCAGCTCTTCTTTCCATCAATCTCAAGCTTCCACAAGCTAAGGAATTCTTTCAGGACCAGAGTGCCTTGCGCCAGATGGCGTGCCTCCTCCGCAAGCAAACCAATGTTGTCTACAAAACTGAGTGGGATGACAGCCGGAGCAAATTGCGTCATGTAGTTGTGAAGGCAAAGGTCAACCCATAGCAAAGCAGCTCAGTGCACCTGAAAACATGTTGCGCGTGAATGTATAAGTTACGCGTCGACATGTAGAACAACTGCTTTGCTTGAGAAGAGCGTCCTTGTAGCTTTTGTATAAAATCTGCGTTGGCGTTTGTTTTTTGGCCGCCTCTTGAATACCTTATCAGCTTATCATTTGGATGAACTACGCGTTTGCGTGTCCAAACGCGTATCTTCTGTGGTGGTCCCGTATGAATAATGCCTCCGCCGTTGGAAAGGCATTGTGTTTTCCTTTGGTAGTGGTCTATTGTTTTCATATATGTTCATATTGATCCCCTACGATATCGTTTGAAGCGTCTCATTCTTTGCTTGTGTGGAGATTGTTTGCGCCCATGTCTAAGCACTTATCGTGCTTGGTGCATTTTTGTTGGTATATGTGTTCCGCTGATTGATGTCTTCTGGCGAGTATGTTTGCCGGGTGCCTGAATGTTGCAACAGTACTGTACTTGAACATATAAAATTTGGCCATCGGCAAACATTCCTCAAGTGCTTCGTTGTCTATGAAAACTACAGGCTGCTTGGATAGTGAACTTGTTCTTGTAACTTGTCTAAGCCTTGTGGTTGCATTTCAGAACATTTTGGTGTTGGTGGACATCTTTTTCGACGCGTAAACACTGCTCGCTTGACACTGCGTTTCTTGTTTCGTTCGTGTTTCAGTCACGCGTTGGCGCATGTACAGACATTCATTGTTTCGATGTATATTTCCTGCTGACTGTGGTAAAACATTGTTTTTGCTTTTGCTATTCTCGTGTTGTTGTGCAAACTTTGTCTGCGTGTCCAAACGTGTGCTTTCCGTGGGGTCAATAAAGCATGTCCTCTTTGACTTTGATCGCTGCGTTCATTGCACCTTTCGTTTATCAATCATGCGTTTGTCCTTCAAAACATTTTCCTTCTCCTTTGGTGATATATGTTAATGTCATTTGTATGAACTTATGCCCTGTTCAGTGACTGTTCAAGAAGGAATTGCGCGCGTGTAGATACTGTATATGTACTGAATTGGTATAGACCATGCGCAGGCACTTGAACGGACAAGTCGGCCATCGGCGAACATCCCTAATAAAAGAGGGAACATAAGTTCATTCTGTTTGGATATTGAACTTGTTTGTGTAACCTTGTGTCTAAAGTTCGCGGCTGCATTTCAACATCCTTTGGAATTGGGTGGAAACTTGTTGTCGACGTGTAAAAGCTGCTTGCTTGACACTCTGTTACAGTTTCTTGCGCCGTTCGTGTTTGACTCATGCGTTGGTACATGTGCATACATCGGCTGCTTAGATGTATTTTGTCTGCTCACTTTTGAACAGCGTTCCCTTCGCTTGTCAATATTCGCTTGGCTTGCATGATTTTTTGTATAAACTATGCGCTTGCACATCCAAACTTGTATCTCCCCTGGTGCCAGAAATTAAAGTATAAGTATGGCTTTTAGTAGCTCCTGTATCGAATCAAGAGCTCCAAGAAAGTGCATGTACATAGTAAGGAATTGAGCTTGCAAGATCAGACAGACATGTCATACATATATTTTTGGTAAACATGGCTACTATAAAATCAAGACGCCTGAGGATGATAGCCGCAACAAAAATGAATTGGCACCGTTTGCAGAGCGAAGGGCTGCAAAAAATAAGCGCAAACTCTTTCTAGAAACAAGTGCGCAAGCTCTTCAAGCCTAAAGCCTCTAAATAGAACCATAGGACCTGAGCTTCAAAAGATTGACATACACATATATATAATATATATATATTTGTATATGTGTTTCTCTAGAACTTCAGGTGGCCCAACCTTCAATTATGTTTACGCACCCTCTTGTCTAAAAAAAAATGGTGCGCTAGGCTCCTCATTCTGCGTCGGAATATGCAGTAAGTTGCGCGTATATACACCAAGGACCCTGCAAATTCTGTGTTGTGCTGTATTGAAACGGTTCTTGAAACGTATACACCATGCGCAGACACTTGAACATACACTTTGGCCATCGGCGAACACTTCTTAAGTGCTTGGTGGTCTATGGAACATTCATTTGGCTTGGATTTTGTTTGTGTCGTTTTGTGTACAAACTATTGGATTGCAATTGCATTTCATGTCTTGTGTTTTTAACACACAACGTGCGCAGAAAGAATGTTCCAGATCTGGGTGGATGCTTTGCTATTAGGGTTGTCAGCCGGGTTATTTAGAGTCTGTTGATTTCACAGCAATTTCATCTCAGTTCCACTGTTCATCAAATGCGCTACACACATTCTTTGGTTCATCTTGTTTTCTCTGGCACAGCAGGCATGGCAACACGAGGCAACCCAAGAGGCGGACTTCGTTTGCTTGCTCAGTTTGCGTGTGGTGTAGGAGATTTTGCTCGGGTTTTCATCCCTTTTCATCAACTTGCGACAGCTAATTGGTGCAGCCAGGATAGTTCAGGACCGCGCCATTTTGGATGATCCCTTGGATGAGGACCAGACAGATGAGGCAGGATGCTCGCATTTTCCTACTTGTACTATGAAAATTCTCGCAGTTTGCTGTTGTGACCGCCAACTGCCAGGTTTGAGCAGGTTTCTTTCGGTAAACTGTTCTAAACGTTGATAGGATTCCTTTTGCCACGAGGCTGTTGCCACCTTTCGAGAAATGTCTGAGCGCGCGGTGGAGTCACTTTCTGAGGGTGCTGCCATGGCAGTCTAGAGTCTGGCAGCCACAAATCTACACACAGCAGCGGCTGCCGAGGTTTGGAACCAGTAGAAGAGGCTGACAATGGATGGACGTTTGAGACAGAATGGGCGAAAATTCCGCAAAGACTAGCAGTTGGTCGTTTTTTCTGCAGTGGAACATTGGAACGCAATCATTTTGACCTTTGTTTGGCAGGTTCTATCTCATGGACATCCAAGACGATTTCGGATTTTATGAGGTGAGAGTGAGTAATCAGAAGTTCTTTGCCGAAGAACTCATCACCAACGGCGGGTCTAGTTTGACTTTTGGCATTTACTTCTTGATTGTCCAGGAAGAGGAAGGACCTGCAGGAGATCAAAAAGGCAAGGAGGACCTGGACTTGGATCCTCTCCAGATCGCTAAGATTGCCAGGAGGAATCTCCACCAAACAGGGCTCGCTCACAGGCCATGTGCAAAAGTCTGTGACTTGTTTGATCGTGTATATATGTATTATTTCGAAGAATACCCTGTCACATGATGAAGCATTCCTGTTTGCCGTCGTCGCCACCTACCATCTCAAGAGGTGGGTGGGAGGGTTCATGAGCCTGTGCCGTACACCGGAAAACGTGCGGCTGGGCATTGGCTACGGAAGGGCGGGAACCATTGGTTGTGCAGGGCACTTTTGAGGGTTGTATACATTGTGGTGCAGGGCACCTTGGTTCTTTTACATTGACAGTGGTCATTGTTGTTGACGGACGTGGTCGTCCAGGTTGAGAAGGAAGGGTTCCATCTACCAATCACATTTGCGATTGGCAGCGGAGCCAGTCGCTCCGTAGGGACCTGTCAGGACTTTGTTGCTTGGGGAAGCTTAGCAGAGCATGCCGGGTTCTGAAGGAAATAGTACTGGCTCAGGTTCCACGGAAACCTCCGTCGGATCCCAATTGGCACAGCTTGTGCCCACCTTCGACCCGGGAGTCGACAGTGTTGAACAGTGGTGCCAGAAGATTCGATTGTTGATCCGTGCATGGCCTGAAAATAAGCTCAATGAATTGGCCACCTAAGCATTTCAGAAGCTTGAACTTCGTCGGTGAAGTCATGCCTGGCACTAAGGAAGGAATTTTGAAGATTGTAGAGATTGTGTCTGGCCAATTTGGCCAAGTTGATCTCGAGAAGAAGTATGAGGTGGTGGAGAAAGCAGTGCTTCGATGCCAACAAAAGCCGGATGAAACCGCAGACTCATTTTTGGCCCGCATGAACGTCGCATGGACTGAAATCGAGGCCAACCAGGTCAAGCTCAGCGAGATTCAGGCCTACGTGGTCCTTCGTGGCAGACGACAAGAAGAGAGTTTTGGTAGAATCTGGAGCAGAAAGTGGCGGAACATTGAGCATGGGCAAAGTCACTTCTGCAATTAGGCTTCTAGGCTCAGCTTTCTTTCAGGAGTACACCACTGGCAAGAAGGACAAAACTTTGAAAACATATGATCAGAGCGCATTCACGGCAGAAGAGCTGGAAGAGGAAGAAGACCTCTACTGGACCAATGCTGATGAGCAATGGGAGGACGACAACCTTGAAATGTTGGCCGCCGAGGACCCAGATGCTGCATTGGTGCTTCAGTTCGAAAGCGCAGTGAACGAAACGATTCAAGAAGAGTCAGAATTGTCAGCCTACTACTCAAGCTATCAGGAGGCTCGCAAGAGACTTCAAGAGAAAACAAAGAATCGTGGGTTTTGGAATTCCAAAGGTGGGTCCACTAAGGGCTATGGCAAAAAGGGGGTCAAGGGAAAGACATCGAAGGGCAAGGGCTTCAAGACTCTCCAACAACGCATAGCTGAATCCCACTGCAGGATCTGTAACCAGAGAGGGCACTGGAAAGCCGAGTGCCCGATGAGAAAGTCCGCAACTCCTTCGGATGATCGCCCTCAGATTCCGACGTCGGCCGCCGTCGTGATCGACCTTGAAGAGATCCCCGAAGCCACGCGCGAAGACTTGAAAGAGGACAGCCATCATGTGTGTTTCGGAACTGTTCATGACAGGGCCAAGTCTTTTGGGGATACGTTGAAAAACAATCTCACCAAACGAGACATCGCAGCACTTCGCTCCAGGAAGGCATTGTTGACTTCCGCACCAGGTGAGATCCGTGCCGAAGGTTCCAAAACGGAAACCTTGAGCCCAGGCATTTCGAATGCAGCCGAAGAGAGCCAAGTGTTTTTTGCATCCACTGGCACGACCGGGGTCGTGGACTTGGGAGCTTCACAAACAGTTATAGGTCATGAACAGTTGAAGGAACTCCTAGGACAACTAACAGAAGAAGTAAGAAAGCAAGTCAGAAAATCTACGTGCAACCTGTTGTTTCGTTTGGCAACCGCCAAACCCTGGAAAGCCGAACCGCAGTGGTCACCCCGATGCAAGGTGCTTGATTCCGAATTGCGGTTGTTCGTGGCAAGACCCCATTTTTGATCTCCAGCCAATTACTAAAACGGCTAGGGGCAGTGATCGATACCTCAGAAGGTACGTTGTGGAGCAAGACCCTGAAACGACGCCTGAAGATGGAATCTACTAAGAAGAATCTATTTCTGCTAGACATCAATCAGTTTTGGCAACCGCTCGAAGAGTCGTCATTTTTGCAGATGCAGGAGCACTCATGCACCAGCCGGCAGGTACAGCAGTCAAACCCGACTGACCAAAATCCGTTGCCGACGCCAGCAAAACATGACTCTCCTGCAGCAGCCAACTCATCGGAAGCCGAGTCGGTAGTGATTGGTAGACGTAATCTAAGTAACCAGGAAAACACACGTGAGGCACGAACCGCCGAAGCTGCTTTGAAAGAAGTTGATGTCCCTCTCACCGGTCAGCCATCTAGCAGCAACGAGAGCTCGAGTCCAATCGTTCAAGCCCAATCCGTTGATCATCATGCCTTCCGACCTCTCCGCTCAGTTGTCCCGACTCCAGAAGTCCATGAGAAAGGGGAAACGGAAAAGGACCTTCAGGAATTCCTGACCATGGCGGTGGAGCAGATGGCCCTCCACAAGATCCAATTCGGCAAGGCAAAGCTCGGTATGACCTTCGAAAAGGCCTTCAACGACCTGGCATGGACCAAGTTCGTGACATCTAAATACGGAGACTCGGACAAGAAGGAACATCGCATGTTCGTGACCTATGCCCAACTCAGAACCGAGCAGGAGATCCAAGCTCTGGACCTGGACCAATGGAAGTCCGAATGCGTCGAGCCACCTGTCCCAGTCAAGGCACCACCCATGACTGCAGTGAAGAGCAAAGCATGCCCATCGATGAAGGCAAGTCAACAGGGCTATGCAAGCTCATCTCGACACAGCCAGTCGGACCCCGCCAACGAGATCAACATTCTGCAGGGCCGCATGGACCAGATGGGGACCCTCCAAGAAGTTGTCCTCCACCTCCGGAACCTGACCGTGAGCGCTCAGCAGTGGACGCTAGTGAAGGAGGCGCTCGACCATTAGATGCCGAGACCAGAGCAAGTCTGGCCGCCGAATGCTTTGCCTCCCAACAACTCGGAAAAGCAGAATTCGATTTTAACATGACCGACCAAGAAACACACATGGCCGAATGCAACCGTCTCATCAGGCAGTTTCGTAAGGAGTTCAAACAAGCCCAAACAGTGTTGCATCCTCCTAAAACGAAGAAAAGGTGTGTACTGTTTGAAGTCATGTGCTCATCCCAAAGTGAGTTGACAAGGCAATGCACTCAGCTGAACGTTCATGCACGACGATTTGGCCGAGAACAGGGAGACCTCAGCACGACGTCCGGGAGAAAGAATCTGTTTGCTCATTTAATCATCGAACAACCAGAGCACGTGTGGATAGCTCCTGAGTGTCGACCATGGTGCCGATGGTCCCTGTTCAACGAGCAACGTTCGCTTGAGCACTTTCTTCAAGTGGCCGCCGAACGTATCGAAAACATATGGCAAATTGCTTTATGTGTAGTTCTGTGTGAACACCAGTTGAACAACGACAGACACTTCCATTTGGAGCAACCGAACGGGTCACTTTTTCTCCAACATCCTAGTATAGTTGCATTGGAACATGCAACGCAGCAGTGCAGGTTCGACATGTGTCTCGTAGGTGGCTTGAAAGACCCCAAAACCAAGGAATTCATCAGGAAACGAATGACGCGCAACCGATTCTGCAGACACGACCACAACCACCATCAAATCGCAGGGTCCACGAAGGTGAACGGTCAGAACGTACCTATGTCAGCCTTCACTGAGCTTTACCCCCGAAAGTTTGCTAGACAAGGACAAGTAGCAAAGAGCCTCATTCAAAGGAATCATTCATTTCATGTGTTTGCCGCCGAAGAGACAGAGTTTGACCATCCTACCAAAAGGCGGAGACTAGGTCAAAAGAGCTCCAGAATCCAAATCTCACGTGGGAGGACGTGATGGCTGAAGCAGATCAAGTAGCTGCCAGGGTGGGTCCGT